GCAAAAGTCATGTGTGAAAAGACAGCCAATGGTGACGCTGCTCGACTCGCATACGTAGACTTTACCTCTGTACACATTGACAACTCTTATCATATGTCTGCATTTTAATACAGATGAGCAGATTGTCAACACATTTGAAAACCTGATTACAGACTATTAAATTGTGAAACGTCTTTTGTAGATTCCGGTTCGCATTGACAACTTCTTTTACACATTGACAAATCTCACTGTGGACGAACGGATTGCGATACAGACAGACAACTCTCCATACACACTGACTTAGTTTTGCTACAATGATGCCCCATAACCAACAGGACGAGGAATGATTAACCTTTAACATCAGCACAGAGTCAGGCAATCTTCCATCAAACCACTCTGTGTGGAGATTCACTGAACAGGAATCAGGCTGCATCACTTTGGAAACCCACAAAACATGGACAGTTTCCAAGGAATGCTGAGCTGCTTATTCTGCAGACTGTGCTTGAGGTGGAAACTACACCAGACTTCACAGGATCCTCTGTTGCAAATGCACAGAGTAATTGCTGTTTTGGATGTCCTAATCGAGTTTTTTTAAAATTCAATTAGAGCCATTTATTGGTTGGCGTCTGTCAGACTTTGTCCAAAATGAAGCGTCAGAAGGTGCACATGCTCCAGAACATGGTGAAGCCCTGTATTCTCTACATGCATGTCACAAAATGTGTTGCAGCCCAGCTGTAGTACCTCATTGTTCCACCAGGTGGAGCCTCCTACTCGTTACTACTGTACCAGTCTCGCTTACAGAATGGTCTGACTGCACCTCAGTATCATTCTGCTATTAGGAGGGATGCTCTGGCTTGTTTACATGCAAGAACTGTTTAGGTGGAAGATGCGTGAGCGCCTCAATCTCACACAGCATTGAATTAGGATCCACTTAAATTTCATCCATTCCAATGAGAACCTCTGTGATCTCTGATAAGTTTACAAAACTCCTGCCTCCGTAAAAGAAGTCGTTGGTGTGGCTGCAGTTCGGATAGACAGAAGGTCCAGTTTGAACTTTGCTAACAGCAGCTCGACAGCCAACATGTAGATCACCTACAATCACACCCTGATACGCTACACATTCTCACTTTTTTCAGGATTATGTTGTTTGTTCTATTTGATTGCTGTGCTGCTGCTGAATCAACAACATGATACGAAATAAGACGAAAAGGTTCAAGCTTTTATCTTTGATAGTTGCTGAGATGTCATTCAAACAACCTCAGATTTCACTGTGCAATTTAAAAATACATATCTCAGAAAGCATTTGAGATATCAAACTTTTTAAAAATCCACACTTTCAAACAAGTCAGAGGTGTTTGAGCAGAAGGCCCTCGTGATACAGTAATCCTCAGTACGTGTGGATTTTACAACCAGCGCTGACAGGTCGTGTCTCAGATCTGCGTGACAATGTCAGACATCTCCAACTACATGTTTCAGCTCACGGCAGCAGCACACTTTTGTCCACCTGTCCCGTGTGTTTGTGCTCTATTGGACTCATTCTGTCACATCTGGTGTGTGTCACCCTGCCATTAAACTTCAGCTGCGTTCAGTCTGAATAATACATTCTCCCCTCTCGCTTCCACAACCATCTGGCTGCTTGTCCGACACACAAAGCAAACACACGTTACGCCACGCATGCACAAGGACTCGCACACCGATTGTAAAAAAGTATTCACCCCTGTTAGAAGTTTTATCGCTTTTCAACACTGTCAATTTAGCTTATTTTGCAAGAATTTACACTAAAAAAGTCTTGTCAACATATTGCTTGGTTCCTGCAGAGGACTCATCATGCATTTTTTTTCCCATCTCCATCAAAATATGATCAGAAATGGACACTGCATTTTAGTCATTTTAAAACCTCTTCTTGCAACAATACAAATGAACAGACGCTCCGAGGCTGAATAAACGCTGTGCCTCCCAGTTACAACTAGTTCTTCCTTTTCAGATGACTGCAAAAGTTGGTGTTTACTACAGATTCACAGTCAGGTAACTCAGAAGTAGAACAGCAGAGTATTTTCTCTTACCTCAAATTAAGAACTAACAGTTTAGCGTCACTACATTAACAATTCAGGCCCCGTCAGACAACGCAGCCGTTGTTACTGAGCTTCTAATCTTGTTCCTCCTTTATTTTTGATGACAGACTTAATCCTCAACATGGAGGAGACGACACAGGACAGTATTTTAGTGTATTTATGTGTCTCAGGCGCCTTTAAGGAAACTTAATTTAGTTTTCTCATTTCCAAATTAGATTCTGATTGCAGTGATAGTAATCTAACAGAAAACAAAATGCCGTGATCATTTATTTGATCACTCTGTGGCTTTTACTCGGACAGTTTTCTGACATGTGATGACTTCAGTGTCACGTCTTTGGAAATGAATCGCTGTATGAAGGCTTGAATCTGTGAAACATTTAGAAAAAAAGATAAATTATTCTTAAACAGATATTTGTGAACATATTTACCTTTTGTTTTGAACTGACTCTTTTTAAAAAGTCACTGTTATTCTCTATTTCACATTCACAGCTCGTCTGTCATGTCAGCGTCCTGCCAGGTGGCAGCAACGCACCAACTTTCTCTTTTAGCATGTTGATGATCTGTCGCATGAGCAGACATTAATCTATGTGTAGCTTTAATCATGTTCAGTGGGAATATAGAGTAACACCGGTTTAAACTTGAGTCGTAAACCCCCTCGAGCCCTGAACGGCATTCTAATACGCAGAGTGACACACCAGTAAATTGGATTCATTACAGCTCCTGGAGTTTACTGAGAAGCAGATGGCTATTTAACTCAGTTACGATGCCTGGCTCAAAGGCAGAGAGCTTCTCAGGGTAACCCAGACATCATGCATGACACTGAGACTTAACTCCTGTCGGTGTGATGTAATCACTGATGCTAAATCCTCCAAAGCAATCGACGGCGATCTGATTGACAATAATCCAGAGTAAAAAAACGGATTTCTCTCTGTGCAATTGTGCTGAAAGCATCGGCGTCAAAGTGCTGGAGAGCTTCTGAGACCTAAATAAAACAGCTTCACTAGGTTTATTCCTTCTGTGTATCATTTATAGCATGAAAAGCTTATTTTTGGAGAAGCTGGCTGTAGTTGCACTGAAGGGATGAAAACCACGTCGGCTGATGTGGGGTTTCAGGGTTGAAGTGTGTAACTGTTGAGAAAATGTAAAAGACATTATTAGGCTGTTTCTAGTCAATTTAAAAAAAAAATCATGTAACAGCTTTTAGGATTTTATTACGTAATAAAATTCCCTAATTTTAAGAATTTTTCAATTTTTGTTTTACAGATCAAACAAACTGAATTTACATATCAAATGTAAAATAACACTGAAAAATAAATGTCTATAAAACATATAATCTAATATTTTAATGTAAAGTTACACATAAAAACTCATCTGTTTAATAACATTAGTTTTACTTTTTCTTTTTAAAAAGATAAATCTATATTCCCTTTAACCAGAGGCTTACTTTTCAACACTAAAGATCTACTAAATAAACAAGATTTTTACATGAAATCGCACGTTTTGGTTTATTAACTGTGGTTTGACAGCTTCTCAAAGGTAAATCTATTCATTTTAAAGTCGCTCATGTTTTTGTTAACATTAAAAACCTTTTGAATAGAAAAGATTTGTATGTAAAGTTACATGTAAACCCCAATGTCACACTTGATATTATGTCAAGTTCACAGTCGATTCTTACAATTAAAAACCAATTACTAGTTTCCCAGTATCTTGACACTTTGAATTTTTACATAATAAAACCCAACTAAACCAATAATGCCACTTTTCTACAGTATTAGGCCTCATTATTTGTATTATACCATCATTCAGCCACATTTACAGGCAATCTAGTTGTTATTAAATGTTAAAATTCTTTATTTAACATTAAAAAATCACAAGAATATGCACGATCTAGTATAAAACTAAGAACAGGAACTGCATTTTATTCATGGAAAACTACTGTATTGTTCTAAACGGGTATTGTCTCTTATTTTACAGTATTTTTTGTCACCCCAACCAGCAGACTATTGCACATTTATTTTAGTTTGTTTTGTTCATTTGCTTTTTCTTTCACAATGAGGAAATGACACGCAACTCTGCTGAAAGCTCATTTCTTCACGGTTCACCAATTTTCAAATAAAAGCAATAAAACAGAAGTGTTACTACAGAGGCTCTTTTCTTTTCTGCTGTACTGTTCTAATGTGAACGTGCATTAAAATTGTAGCTCAGGTGTTTCCCTTTCTGCAGGCCGGCTCGAAAGAGGAAGCGTGTGGCAATTAATAATTTTCAGTTTTACTTCGCGTTTACAAATCAGCCACTTCCTCTGCAGAAAAAACTCAGAGTGTCCCCATCAGCTATCGAGTTCCTCCTCGACGGTCACCTGGACCTCAGCGTTCACTCATCCACCACTCAGCTGCTGCCGTATCGAGCGCCTTGTGGTATTTGTGTTTTCCCTCCCACACGACCTAAAAACTTACAAGCAGGTAGACGACAACATGAACTCCACTTTTGCTGCTTTTTGCTAGAAATGATGCTTTTCTGTACAATTTGCCATCTGAAGGCCCTGCAGGACTGGAACAGCTAAGAGAGTTTTGAGGATTTCACAACATATATTGATGGTATGTTGCTGTTTTCAGTCACCTTTCACTTCTGTAAAAGGATTCATACTACAAGTAAAAGTCCTGTGTGTGGCTTTATTATCGGGAAATGGCTGTTCGGCTCAGTAGATTATTACTGATGCTGATGTGAAAGCAGTATTTTTAAGCATTTGGCACATTTTGCTGATAATACTTAGATAACTTTAGCAAAGTATTATTTTCCATGCAGCGTTATTGTTGTAGCTGAGTGATTCTGCTGCTCCCATGTGGTCAAAAAAATCACTTACTGCAGCTTTAATGTTGCTTAAAGAAGACTTTGGTCCAACTAAACTACCCTAAAAAAAGACTTTAAGTTGTGGTAACAAGTGATTATTGGCCTCCAGCTTTCCCATCGTGTGGATTTGCTGCTTTTCTCAGTTTTTAAAAAAATAGCATTTCATAGTAAAAATCTTTTTTTTTTTAAACAAACAACACATTTAAAAACAAGCAGCCAGAAAAATAAAAAGAAGCAATCTTTCTTATCAGCTTTGTGCAACTCTTGTTTGCACAAAGGTTTCAAAGATTAGCAGCAGGAGTGAGATCATCGACCCACATTCGATAAGAAGCCATCAGAGTCTTTTTAAGACTAAAGGAATCGCGGAGGAGGAAACAAGCCGCGTTCCCCAGAAAAACTATTACTTCCTTATTTGCATCTATCAAAGGTTATAAACTGAGTAATCAGTCCTCCTTCTCCACTGATTGCTGCTTCCTTCCACAGTAACGCTCTGCTTTCAGAAACACTACTCATCATCATGGGGAACTTCATCGCCAACGAGGGACTCTCCATCTTTGTTATTGTGAGTATATTTAATCATTTCATCGCTTCAGCTGGAGGTTTCAGCCTTTCTTTGGCTTTCTGTTAACAATGTACAAAATGTTTTCAGAATTCCATCTGCTGTTCAAGTAGTTTCTGATCCAGAGCGACGCTTTTAGAAGTTGTTGTTTTATGAAACAAGACAATTGTTCTCTTCAGTGAAATAAAATCCAAATGTTCCCCTCATTGGTTTCCATTGTGGGGTCAACTCCTCCACAAAAGCTTAATGTGAGGGATCACAAAATGTTAAACCATGTCAGTGTTTTCTAATGATTTTACTGGAGGTTTAACTCCCACTATCATGTAACCCTAACCTTAGTAGAATCAGCCAACTAAAAATAAAAAAAAGGCTTCTGCTTCACAAATCTATGCTGTTTTTTTAGGTCTCTTCCTAAATATGTTCTCGTTCTTCTAAATAATTTTAGGCCTTTTCACAATAAATTTCTGGTTGAAGCAGCCACAAGTGGTTCATGGTAAAAAAAAAAAAAAAGGACAGATGAAAATCTTGCAGCAACCGTGACAGAAAAAACAAAACAAAAACAAAAAAAAAAACATGTGACTTTATGAGCAATTGTCCAAAAATAAGTGGGATATGATTGGTGAATTAGATCTCAGCAAAAACCCAACATTGTGCTTCACTTTTGTCTAATTTGTCATAAAAAAACACTGATAACTATTTAAAACCTCCATATGTGTGACTGTAGCTTAAGAAATACATGTAAGGTTTTTAAATTACAAACATTTAAAAGGCTTCTGGAGCCATTGCGGTGCTCATGCTGTCGATCTGGAGAGGATCACATTAGGACTGAAGTTATCTTTCTGCTGCTCTGACCTTTTGATTTAATGCTGCATGTGTTTGGGTGGATTTTACAGCTGGTGTGGCTGGGGATCAACGCTTACCTGTTTGTTGAGTTCTACATGAGGTTCCTGGTCGAGAGGTGGTTTTACACCAGAGTCCTGCTCGGGGTGAGTCCGACCTTCTTCTCACTTCAACTGAGCCATGAAAATATAAAGAGTCGCAGTTTTATTTATTGGTTTTTAGAAAACTCAACTGAGACGGAATCATTGTTTGTTTTTTTTCTATACATTATGTTATTGTGATCTCATTACATCAAGTGCTTGGAGATGACTTATGTTGAAAGTTGTAGGTAAATATGAAACGAGCCAAAAACAGGACCCAGACTGTTTCATTTCCTTAAAATGCAGCAGCTGTCAGAGGTCCTGACATTCTGCAGCCTCTAAAGCAGCCCACTCACCCACCCGGCCCGCTTTATTAAACTGGACGTCTGCGGCAGAATACAGAAGTGGTTTCTACACTCGCAACAATAAGTTGAGCAATTAGGAGTCAATTACAAGAAATTTTGGGGCAAAAAAAAAGTTTTCTGGTTCCTCAGGATGCACGAGTTCATTTACAAAATAAACTCCAACGATGAAGACATACAACTTTTTTATTCATGGACCTGACATGTTAGATATCTTCAATGTTTTGTTTGAAGAAGCCACGAAATCTAGAAAACTGTTTCATCCCAAAGCTGTCGTAGCACTTACCTCTGCATAACTCTATGTGCAGTGTTCTGCCATCGTAACACAATCCTATCATACAGACCTTGTAAGAGCAGCACTCAGCACCTGAATACTTCCTTCTATCTCCTTTGTGATGGTGTTTTCTGATATCCTATTTGATTCTTGTTTTATTCTCCATAAATGCATTGTTTGCACTATTCACATACTTAATATTTGAGTATTTTAGATATGCTCTTTTGCACTGTAAAAGCATATAAATTCCAATTAATTATACTTGTGCAATGCCGATGAAGGCATTTGTATCAAGCAGGACTGAAGTCGGTTTATGTTGGATACCAGACAAAGAGAGATTCTAAGAATAAAAGACGGCTATCTGCAGATCTGTTCTTAGGGATATTGGGCTGACTAAATAAAAATGTCTCGACTTCCCTGAACAACAGCATAAAACTATAAACCCAAACTCTTAACAGTAAATTACAGCCCATGACACACCAACCACTCCTTATCTACACCAGCCTTCATTTTTACAAGGAAACTTTGACGTATTGAGCGATTGCTCTGCGGTCACAGCTGGCTTCATGACACACCGACAGCTGGCTGCAGGCCAGAAGAAGTGAAACACCGAGGCGCTCACTTTCTGCTTCTCTGAATTTAACGGTATTAAATATAGAGAGATGAGGAACAACACTCAGAGCTGCTGCTTTTATTTCTCACAGAACCAAGAAAACTAAGAAAATAAATGATTTACGTTGAGGTAAGATATAGTGGCGAGACTCTGGGTGAGAGTTAGATGTAGATAATGTCTGGACGGATTATTTGACCAATTATACTATATGATGTAAATGAAAGTGGAAGTCTGGAATTGCAAATATTAAAATGAGATAATTTAATAAACTTAAAGTTTAACTTGTCCAGTCACAAGCACATGCGTTCATGTTTTCATGTTGCCAAATTAAAATTGCAAATTAACTGTAATATTTTTGCGCCATAATGATGTTAAAATGTAAATCTATGTCTCTCAAATGACAAACTGGACTTTTGTGCAAACAAATTGATTTATGTCCTGGTTTAAGTTTTTCACAATGATTACAAATATGGCCGTTAAAAAGTTGTTCAAAAGCCTGGTTTGCAGTGACAGTATCCAAATTAGGTCGTGGATCATCAGCAAACAAAAGATACTGTTCATATCTCATTACTGTGATTTGATTTCTATTAGTTCATTGATAATTACACGTCAGAGAGAACATTTTTTTTTCCTTTTTCTTTTTTTGAAAACAACATAAAACTTTAGGATATAATTTCAGAATTCGCAGGCGAAGACCTCCAAAACCCTCAAGCCAGAATAAAACTTGTTTTAAAAATGATTATTAGATATAATTACCACCTATAGCTCCCTGTAGTATTAATTCATATTTTTGACTGCGTTTTTCTTTTCTCTTCGCTGTCAGCTTTCAGATCTATATAAAACAGCGTGTATGAATTTGAACTCTAGCCACTCAGATGATTTCGTGATGAAATTTACTAACAATTCATCAGACTACAGGTTAAAGTAACCCACTCCTCTCTGTAATCCCCCAGCATGCCCTGCCCTGGGCCAGAGCTCCTGCTGCCTGCCTCAACTTCAACTGTTTGCTCATTCTGCTGCCGGTCTGCCGAAACCTCCTCTCCTTCCTCCGAGGCTCCATCCAGGTATCGATAAAAGCTGAAGTTTAATCTAAACAACATGTACTTATCTCAAGCAAAAAGGGGATCCAGCTTCTAGAAGTGTTCTTTAACTAACACAGAGGAGACAAGCATGATAACAAATATAATTGTTAAAATACCTACAGTATGTAGAGCCACCATGTTTCCAGTGTTGCTAATACCTGTGGACGCTTGGAAAAATGTTGAACATCTTGATTAAAAGTTATTTCAAGTTTGCTTCAAGTTCAGACTGTTAACATTGTGATTCCTGTTTTTCTTGTTTGTGTTCAGTGCTGCAGCCGCACAGCAGCTCGCCAACTAGATCGAAACATCACTTTTCACAAACTGGTGGCTTACATGATCGCCTTCCATACAGGTACGGTCTTTGGTGAAAGTGGGGCTTATGATGATCTCTCCAAGAAAACAATATCTTTTGTTTTTAACACAAGTTGAGATTGATATTACCATTTGAATAAAATTATGTAGGAATCAAAAGAGATATATATATATATATTTACAATTCTAGCATTAAGATTAATATGACATGTGATTAAAAAAATAAAAAATTATCATTCAGATATGACTAGTTTAAAGACCCAAGCAAGTCTATTTTAGATTTCTCTGCACGGATGTAATTAATGTTGCAAGACGTTCAGCATTTGATGCCAGTCAGACAGCTCTTTGAGATAGCTGATGGACCCTGGTTTTACATTTTTATATTGTATAAAACACAAGAGGACCAAGGAGAGGGCCTTGGGGTGCAATTATTAAGTGCTTTTACTTTGTTCATAAAAGTGCTATTCAGCCAACATCATTATTTTACCCTCTCAAATATAAAATTACATAAACAACAAGAAGACCTAGGAGGAAGCCTTGAGGTACTCCACAATTACGAGGAGCCCTTTTCAAGCATGTTGTTTTCAAAAATGTTATACAAATGCAATTTATCATTATTGCAGTTTTTACCTTTCAAGGTTGATATTTACACAGTCAGCACAACAAAGAAAATTCAAAGAACTACTCATCCTATATAATTATTTTCAAGCCTTTGAAGCTACATGTATGGATGTAAAAGTGGAAACTGTGGAGGAAGGAAATATATGGGGTACTCCACAGTTTGCAGCATTCTGCAATTTTACTGAATGCGTTTCTTTAGATAAGGGTTAATATTGTGCTAAAATAAAGTATGGAATTTACTAATTGATCGTTTTTGAATTAGGAATTTAGTGAAGAATGTTAAACCCACCTAAAAAAAGAAGCCTGAAAACTCTGATAGCTGTAATTTCATAATGCATATCTGCAACATATAGTATCTAAAATTAGTCAATATTTTCAGTGCTAAATATATGGGGATCAATGATAGAACCTTGGGGTACTCCATAATTTCATTTTGTAAAATTTCATTGCAGATGAAGGATATTTTGCCGTAATTCACTTCTTGTTTCTTGTAGCCGTGCACATTGTTGCACACTTGTTCAACTTTGAGTATTTCATGGACGCGCAGCTGAATCGCAACGGCAGCCTTCTGACCTTCGTTCTGTCTGAAATCGGCAACGGAGACAACGCCTCCTTCCTCAACCCCATCAGAAGCAACGAGACGGTGAGTTGTGGTCAACAGAGAGCACAAACTGGTAATCATATCATTTTCAGAGTTGTAGAAAATAAAAGCAGACAAGCTTGTTGGCTTTGAGGTTGAGTGCAGTTGGAAGCTTCTTGTGTTGCAAAAATTTGTGAAATCCCTTCTGCCTCATTGCTAAATATAGTGTTGGTGAGAAAAAACAGCATTACTTCATGTCACAAACTTCTCCTTTTGAAATATTCGTCCTTAGAAGAAGAGAAACTTCCTCATTGCAGATACAGAATGTGGCTTCCAAATGCGTTTATTCAAAAGCTGTAACATGCAGAACAGAGAGAAAAATGACAGATTCTCCTTGTATTTTAAACTACAACTCAGTGTGCAACACCTTTAACACCGATATGGTGCCGCTGCATTGAACCCAAACACTGAGATGTTGTCAATATGAGTCTTAAATGTGCTAAAATTCTTGCTATAATCTTAGATTTTAACCCACGTTTTTATCAAAAAGTCTTTGACCGACATTTCACCAACTTTTGAGGCTTCTAACATCTCCTTTCAGGTTACACACTTCAACCAACACTTAAGCTTATTTGCTGCCTGCACTTAAACTATTTCATCTCCCTTAAGAGCTTTAATTGAACTGAACTGACTTCCTTTAATAAATTCAGCTCTTCTGTGTTTCACATGTGTAAGAAGTTTGTTTTCTATCATCCAAACTGGCTTCTGTTTTAATGTATTGACCTTTTTTTTAAAAAATCGTACAACCAGCAGGGAGTACATGAGTACAGTTGGCCTCAGCAATGAGAGGAAGTATGACCAAACAGGCATTTGTACATGAGGGAAGTTAGCCAATAAACATGAGCAGCAGGGCAGTGTGATTAAAAAGGAAACAACTGAGATGACCTTGAGCTGCTGCAATCCTTCAGGTTTGCGGCTGTTTAAGGGGAAAATGTGAGAAAGGATGTCTAACAGTAAAGTGTGTTCTGGTGCAGAACCCTACCATTGTCATGTTCACCACCATCGCCGGGCTGACGGGCGTCGCCATCACGCTCGCCCTCATCCTCATCATCACCTCATCCATGGAGGTCATCCGCAGGTCGTACTTCGAGGTGTTCTGGTACACGCATCACCTCTTCGTCATCTTCTTCATCGGCCTGGTGTTCCACGGCTTCGGGTGAGGTGACACCGAAGTTCAGGCGCTAAAGCACAGTTCATCTCGTTTTACACAGCAACTACCAGCGCTTTAATTTCTACATTAGTTGCTAAGCAACATGATGGAGCTGACATTGGATCAGGACCTTCTGGACATTTATTCTTGGTTTCATGAGGGTCCTTTCATCGCAAATCATCAAGTTTTTTCTGCTCGACCATTTCTGATTTGCCTGAAATGTATATAGCATAAAATATACCCATCCTTCAGGATGCTTCTGAAATTTTAGATAGAAGCTGATCGTTGACCTACAATCAATACATTTTTTTGGCACATTCAAATTTAAGACAGGAACTATTTGAGATTAAAACCTGAAATTTTCATGTCATTTATATAGAATCTGCAATATTGGACAAGTAAATCAAATAATCTCTAAATATGGGTGAGTTAAAATATGAAAGAAATTCATGAAAAGTCCCGTTTTTTTAAACTCATGTTAACAAAAAATTGTTAATGCAAAAGTCAGTTAATGAAATTTTCTGAACCATATGTAGTTGCATGTCACAATAATATAAAACAAAGCACATAAAATACTTTAGAATATGAAATACTTGCTTTTTAAAGTCTTCCATAGCTGTTTCGGTAGGTGTGACAAGCTTCACCACAAAAACTAAAGTATTGGTAATTAGTCTAGAGTTTTAGAATGCTTCTTCGAATAAAACTACAAACATATGTTTTCAATATGGGCATATTTTTATTTTTATTTTCCCACTTTGTAAGCAGAAACCTGGGGTTAGAAGACACCTGTCATGTAGTTCGGTGTAATTTCTTTGGGAAATGATGCAAGATTTTACAGATACTATTTCAAATATCCAAAATTTATGATGGGAAAAAACATTCTGAGCAAATCAGGGATGGTTGTGCAGGAGGCCCCTGACGATCTTAGATGGAATAACCGATATACATCTTCTCATTGACTTCAGTTCAGTTGATCTAGAACAGGGGTGTCCAATCCTGGTCCACGAGGGCCACAATCCTGCATATTTTAGATGTTTCCCTCTTCCAACACACCTGATTCAAATGATCAGCTCATCATCAAGCTCTACAGAAGCCTGATAACAATCCTGATCATTTGAATCAGGTGTGTTGGAAGACAGAAACATCTAAAACATGCAGGACTGTGGCCCTCGAGGACCAGGATTGGACACCCCTGGTCTAGAAGAAGTTATAAGACGCCCAGCATTCAATGTCACTGACACAGAACTTTGCTGGTGGTTCCTGTTTTACAGATGTGTAAAGCTGAAAGTCATTGGCATAAAAATAAATCTGAGCATTTATCATTGTCTGACCAAGCATGAGGATGCAAATCTATGAAACAATCATCATTAGGATATGATGAGTTTGAAGATTCTAACAACTCTACTTTTGATTTTCTTGCACTCATGTAATGATTTTTGCATTTGATATTAATGAGACAGTTCTTTGAGATTGCTGGAGGTTACGCATTACTTACAGTAATACCTGATCATTGTTTACATGTGTGTAAAGGCGTATTGTGCGAGGACAGACGAACGACAGCCTGAAAACAAACAAACCGGACTTATGCGCCGACAACTTTGAAGATTGGGGAAAAGCAGGGTCCAACTGCAGCGTACCGGTGTTTGCTGGAAACCCACCGATGGTAAACTTCAGTTTTAACACAGCGTCCTTATAAATACAGACAGTGGGGAATTCTGTTGCTTTATATTTTGTGTTCTGCTTTCAGACGTGGAAGTATGTGGTTGCCCCCATGTTCCTCTACCTGTGTGAGAGACTCGTTCGCTTCTATCGATCCCATCAGAAGGTGGTCATCACCAAGGTTTGTATGCACCTTGTTAAAGGGATTTGAACAGCAATGTGGCCTGGAGAGAAACTGCAGCAAGTTTGTCATAAACTACAAAAAGAGGAAAGTCTTTTAGTCTTTCAACGGCTCTAACTGTAATTGTTTTAACATTTTACTGTTATTTTAAGAAATCACAGATAAAAGTATTCATTTACATGTTGACTGAAACAAAATAAATTTAAAACAAAAACAGGCCAAGACTGTAAATAATGTGTGCTGTGTAAATAACAGAAACATTTTTTTTTTTATAGAGCATTCCTCTCAGTTTAGATTGATGTATAAATCATTGGGCCACCAAATAAAAATGCTAATCCTCCAGTATTTTTAATGAGAGCTGCTGTTCTTCTCTGTTGATGGCACACTTACTATTTCTGAGGTTTTTGATTATTTTAAGGAGAAAACGAGCAAATTCATAGACGTCTCTTTAGACTTGGATTATAAAAACAGTCACCACTTAGTTTTAATACTTGATATTTAACAATTAAGTACCTGTGTGTGTTGTCCACAGGTGGTGATGCATCCGTCCAAGACTCTGGAGCTGCAGATGAAGAGGAAAGGCTTCCACATGGAGGTTGGTCAGTACGTCTTCATCCAGTGTCCGTCTGTCTCCAGGCTGGAGTGGCATCCCTTCACCCTGACCTCGGCCCCGGAGGAAGACTACTTCAGCGCCCACATCCGCATCGTCGGGGACTGGACTCAGGCGCTGTACGAGGCCTGTGGAGGAGATAGAAACGAACCCCAGGAAGCCTGGAAGCTGCCCAAGTATGACGATGGGAAAATGGGTTGACAAAAGAGGAATACTGTGTCTGAAATTGCTGGTGATTGCATTTGATTGGAGCCTTCCTGAACCTTTGAAAAGCCGGCAGGACAGGTCACATTTAAAGCCCCGAGTGGTTCATTGTAAGAGTTTGTCACTTTTCCCTCGTCTCAGGAGAGAGTGGAGAAACCGTAGAAATCATACAAAACAACAAATAAGTGTCCTTCGGTGGCCCTGCTGTGCCAGTTGGAGCATTTTTCTGTTCTCTTTTGACCAAACAATGACTGAATGAGGCTTTCATTCAGAGCTGCTGCCTTCAGGGCAGATTGCTGCTGTTTGCCTGGATGTACTCGTACAAAAATCCAAACAGTGATTAAGATTCAGAAATGCTCCAACAATCTTAGCTTTGAGTTGCGTAAAAGCAAAACGAGCACATAAAGGAAACCAGCAAGTGTTCTAGTAGAAAATGCATTAATTCGTTCAAAAGGCAAAATGTTTCAATCTTTCACATAAATGAATATTTTTTTCGTTCAAATATCTGTAAAATCTTGATATTTAAATTAATTACTATTTGTAAAAAAACACAGATTTTGTATGTGGGCATTGTTTACAACAGATCAGGTACCAGGAGGTCCCATTGAGATTTGAAATCTCTTTTACAAGGGAGACCTAGAAATCCATCGCTAACAGTTTTAAAAATGATTTACTATTTCTCAGTACTTAGTATACATAATTTCTCTTTCAAATAGTAGTAATTATCTGTCAAATGGTGATATGTGTGTTGGGTTAAATACTGTTTTTAAAAAAAAATAGAGGAATTTTACTATCAAATGTGGTAAAATAATTAATTACTATTTAGAAAAAATTTAGATTTTACATGTGGATATTATTTACAGTTTTGGCCTGTTTTTTGTTTGTTTGGTTGTGTGTTTTTTTTAATGGTCATCATTATTTTATTTTTTTTTCTCGGATTTTTCTGCATATGATCTATAATTTAACAAAACAGGGAAATCCTTTAAAGTAACATAGTAACTTTTAAAAACATTTTTAATTTAGTAAAATACATGATTTCTCTTTTAAATAACGGTAAATGTCTATAAAATAATGACATTTTACCTGATTTAAATATAGTTAAAAATGTGTAATTTTACAGTCTATAACACTACAAGAACTTGTAACCATTTAAACTAAAAACACAGATTTTTAAATGTGATTTTAACACTTATTACTTATAATTTAATTAACAGGGAAAATCTGCAAAATATCAGAAAAGTATCCCCCCAAAAATATCACAGTAAAAGCTGTGAAAGAAAATGCTCAGCTTTGTTCCGGTGTACAACATATCTCTCATCTTGGGTGTTTGCTGTTCGGTTCTGTTCTCAGGATGGCCATCGACGGCCCGTTTGGTACCGCCAGCGAGGACGTGTTTCGCTACGAGGTGGTGATGCTGGTGGGGGCAGGAATCGGAGTGACTCCCTTCGCCTCTATCCTCAAGTCTGTGTGGTACAAACGCATCCAGAACAACCAGGAGGTGTTCACCAAGAAGGTGAGAGGGAAGCGAACATAAACAGCAGCCAAGGCTCAGGTACAAGCACTTCAGGGCCTTCACTGTGAGATGCAGCTGAAATCTGAAAGTTTCTAGCACACACTAAAATCATTTTTTAACTGAAGATCTTACTTATATTCACTCTAGTTTTCAACTGTGTCCCAGCAGCAGATGGAGTCTGAAAGTGTAAATGAAAGGAAAAGCTCCCGGTTTATATTAAAACCATCCACATGAACACAAAGCGTTTGCACAAATTAACCTCAGAGTAGCGAATGAGGACCAGATTTACAGCGAAATGTGGTTCAAAGTGGATCTAAAGCTCACATGAGGCTTCAGTTAGATGTTTGTCGAATCAAGTCTTTTTAAAGTTTTAGGTCTTTTTGCACAAAACTGCTGCTTCTTGTTGCCGTCTAATCGCTGCATGCTGTAATAAATTCCTGTTAAAATGCAGCCACATTCAGAACAGTAATTCTTTTTTTCAAAGTGCAGTTTAAAAAACAGTCAATCTGATGCATTTCTGGAGTCAAAAACAAGAATCACAGCAGGCGGCTAATTATATTTTGGTTGGTTTCCAATAGACTAGTTCATCAGACGTCACTGCATCTGAATGAATGTTTACAATCCATCGATGCATCCTTCGATGTTTTAGTGGCCTTGGTTCTTTATCATAAATATAAATGTAAATGATCTTTGTTTTTACCCCAGATCTACTTCTACTGGCTGTGTCCGGAGACGCAGGCCTTCGAGTGGTTTGCAGACCTGCTGCAGTCTCTGGAGGGTCAGATGGCCGAGAGGGAAGTGACCGACTTCCTGAGTTACAACATCTATCTGACCCGCTGGAAGGACACCGAGGTGAGGGGAGATAAAACCCTATGAGCTGATCACATATAGCAGCTGTGAAAGGCTGCGACGTGGACCTGCTGCTGCTACTATCTGTCGGTGGAAACTCTCCGTCTGTTTGTGGTCACTTTGTTTCGTGTCCGTGTCTTCTCAAACCAAGCTTATAAAACATCTTTTCTACTGTTATCCTGCCTGGCTGTAAATATTCAGCAAACTCGGTCATTATCTGGTTAAAAAAAAGCATTTTTACTGCAACACTAGAAAAAGATAAACGGACGAGCATCACAAACATACTGTTATAATGAGATGTTTTTCATTTAAACCAGATTTTTATCACTGTTGTTCAGTTATTACTACATAAATATTTATCACCCTATAACAAGAAACCTTTCCTGTTATCACAATGTGATCTTTATCTTGTTTTAAACGTTTTAAAGCGTCACCCCGCTGTTCAGATTGCTTCACTGGCTTCCAGCTGCTGCCCGCATCAAATTCAAAACCCTGACACTTGCTTATAAAAGCACAACGAGAACAGCTCCCTCCTACCTGAACTCTCTCATTCAGATCTACACTCCCTCCTGCTCACTACGCTCGACCAACAAAAACCTCCTGATACAACCGCCACAGCAGGGCCTGAGGTCGATAGCTAGACTCCTCTGTGGTTCCCCGGTGGTGGAGCGAGTTACCAAACTCTGTTCAATCTGCCGACTCCCTCTTCGTCTTAAAGAAAAGACTAAAGAGCAGCTCTTCACTGAACACCTTTGCACCTGACAGACTGAAAACAAACAAACTAAAAATCCTATTACCTTTCACACAGCCTGCTGTTGGCATCAACGCCCTATCATACCACGTTCCATGCTTCCATTTTTTATTCGATTTTTTGAACTTTCTTGTCAAAAACATCTTCTCACAACAACAAACTTTTCACATTTTTCTTCACCTTTTGAAGCCACAGAAACTACACGAGAAAACTTGTGTTAAAGACATTTTTACAGTGTCACTGTGATGTCTCCATTAAAACCTCCTCTAAAGCGACATTCTGCCCTTTTTCCCCTCATCAGGCGGCTCATTTCCGAGTTCACCACGAGGCAGAGAACGATCCAATCACCGGGCTCAAACAGAAGACTCTTTACGGGAAACCGAACTGGGACAACGAATTCACCAACATTGCATCCAAGCACCCGGGGTGAGGCTCACAAACACAACTCACCATCTCATTTAAACAACGAGCCGGGAATGTGAGAGTGAAGCTAATTAATATGGGCAAATTCTATCAGCGAAAAAGTTTGATTGTCCTGGTCGCTGTTTATTTACATCACAGCTGTTTTATTGCTGTTGCTATGACAACTACTACAGCTGATGCTACTGCTGCAACAGGCGTTTATTGTTTTTCTCAGAAATAAACTGAGAATTTAAGCTGTAATTTACAAATGTTCCTGTAAACAGAAGCATTTTTCTGTAATTAAACAGTAAAAGGAGGAAAACATTTAACAGACTATTTAGAAACATCTAAATAGTTCTGGAGTTTAAACTGAGAAGATTTCTGAAGTGTTGTGCATAAGTACAAATTTTACAACTGTGGGAAATATTATATATATAAAGAATGTACTTGTTTATGTTACTTTAAGTGTGCAGGTTTAAATTTGTACATTTTACAGAATTTTTCCTCTTTGTGTAAAGTTTTTTTCAGTAATTTTGAAATACATAGAACTGGAAAAAAAAAGAACAGCGTCTAATGTAGAGCATCATTAAAAAACATGTCCCTGAATAACCATAAAACAGTGCATTCGTTAAAGAAAATAATGAAAAAAAACATATGTAAAATTACTGGTTAAAAAAAAAAAACATTTAAAAATTTGTAGGTTTTTGGCCAAAAAAAAATTTCGGAAATTAAAGATGCCAAGAAAGTCTGAATTAAATTAACTTATTAACTGATAAGTCAACGTTAAAAAATAAAAATTAAAAATTAAATTAAAAAAATCCACGTGTCTCACTGTCATCTTTTAAAATCTTGTATTTTATCTTAATTAAATATTTAGTTAATAATAATTCAGAGCCACTGTGAAGGTGTCACGTTGGGTAACTGCGTCTTACTATTATCTGAATTTTCACAAATAATTAATCAGCAAACGAACCAATAATGAAAATCACAGCTGCAGTCATTTGTAAACTTTCACACTGATGCTTGAGTGATAATGATCTTCTGCATTTATTACTTTTACTTTTTTATGTATTTCTAATGCAGGATGTAAATCTGTAAAATAAAATGTAAACGTGGGACTGAGATAAGTTGTAAAACAAAATAAAATTCTACATTTAGTGTTTGATGAAGACTAATAAGTGACTTCACTCAGAGTTTTAAATGTTTGCTGAGCAGAGTTGGCAGCGTTACAACCACTGCTGCTCGTAATAAGTCTCACTACGATTAACAAAGATGCTTCTTTTATTTGCATGTGCAGAACCAAAGTTGGCGTCTTCCTGTGCGGCCCGCCTCAGCTGGGCAAATCTCTGGAGAAACAGTGTCTGTCGCACTCAGAGGACGACGTCAAGTTCATCTTCAACAAGGAAAACTTCTAGAATAGCATCCGCAAAGGTTGGACGGCGACGACAAAGGAAACTTTATAGCAGCAGTGACGTTCTGCTTGGACTCTACACCAAACATCGTCCACGTTTTACACCAACAAAAAAAAAAGACTGTACAAGATTTTACAGTGAAGGCCTGAAATGAATCACAGGAAATGGCAAGTAGTGAGCTGTTATGTGACCAATGGGTTTCTTCTGGCAGGAAAAGATATAAACAAATGACAGAAGATGGTGAAAGGTTGTGTTGGAGATGGTGATGGTAAATTTGAAGTGTTTTTATTTTTAACTTTTTAAACGAAAATGATTCATATCCCTCATAAATGTCTCAAACGTATGACATTGCTTCACATAAAGCAAATACTTTGATTTTCCTTAAAATGAAGCTGCAGCAATGCTCATTTGAGAGGAATTAAATTAAAGTTGGCCCAACAACTCCCTTTTTTTCAGCGTAGGAACAATCAGACGAATGGCATTTTTAGTAAAAATAGAAATAGTTCAAATTGAACATTTCTAACACAAACTCTTACCCTCCTTTATCAATTGTTTATGTCATTTGCAGCCACACCAAACCTATCAGTCAAATAAAAAGCCACTAAATGCTATGGCTGTGAAGGGTTTTACTGTTCACTGTATTCATCTGTTACAGTCGGCTTCTCCTCTTCTCACCACAGACGTTTTGCAAATGCTCTTGCTCAAAAAGCGATGTGGTGTTTTCCACATTCCCTTCTTCTCCTTTTTGCATTACGACAATAAGAGAAACTGCTTGTTTCAAAACATTTCTTCCTTTTTTATTTGTTCCATCCCGTTGTGTTGCCGTTGGGCGTGTGCCAGACGTGGACGCAGTTATTGAAAAAAAATCAAGCCTGGTATGTGTTGGTACAAATTCCCCAAAGTGAAAGAGGAAAATCAACGAATCAGCCTCGAACAAAAAAGCTTTGGCTGCTACAGTGGAGCTGTTATGTGTAAAAATAACAAAACAAAATGAAAAAAATGGCAAGAATCTTTCCAAAAAGATAAAAATCTAAACAAGCTCCTCGATGCTTTCTGCTTCTCTGCTACAGTGGTTTTCTGTATTTATAAAAAATTAACCTTTTTTTTGTTTTGTTTGTTATCAACAGTTTTAAACTAGAGTAATTGGATTATTTACTGTTGTTTTTTTTTGTTTGTTTTTTTTTTTTACAGATTTCACTGATTTGTTAAATTGCAGATTAGTAAAATTTAAGAAAAAACATATGGAATTAGATGTTAAACCCCCAAAAACGTACCAAAATTGTTAATATTCACATCAAAAATCTGTGTTTTTGCAAATAGTGATTCATTATTTTTACAATGTTTGACCATAAACATACACATAGTAATTTTATAGTGTTTTATAGCACTTCACACTGTATAATTTTACAGACGTGTCGTTATTTTCCGTTTTTACAGCTTTAGCCATTACAGTATTCCATGTTTCAGGAGGCTTGGTTTTTACAGTGCAGTACGTCTTTACTGTCTAAATGGTTCTTGGATGAGGGTTTAAAGGGTTTATGTTGTTGTTTTTTAGCTTGCTTCGATGGAAAAATGAGCAACCCTTCTGGTTAAACTGGCCGATCACTTCCAGAGGTGTGTGTAAAAGTGGATTATTTTGTAAAATTTGCAAACAAGTTCAAGCATATATGCGAAGAAAGCGTGCACACAGGCTGAGGAATGTGCTCGTTCATGATCATAACGTTAAAGCGTGACATGATGGTATGAAGCCTGTACTTTAAAGCACTCAGTGAATATTGTTCTTTACGAGACGAAGCGTAGAAGTCAGAAACTGTCTCCAAATGGCACCAGAATGTCTAACTTGCACTGCACTGATGAGTTGATAAATGGAACAATTAATCACCAACAGTTCAGAACAAATGACTCATTTATTGAGCCAGAAATATGTCAGGATGCAGTTTCTAAAATGTGAAGATTTTCAGTTTTCTATGAGTGCAAATTAAATATATTTATACTTTGGACTGTTTTCTAGGTCAGAAGAGCATGAAACAGATTTGTCATTATAAGAGTAATCTTCAGTAATTGGTCCAAGGTCAACTTATTGCAATACTTATAGAGCTTTGGCCATTTTTCAAGGCCTTCATATGCAGATAGCTTGCTCCGTTGTCATGGAAACTCCATCTATGGATGACAGCCTTTGACATGTGGCTCAAACAATGAACCTTAAACCTCAAAGTGTCGAAACACATGAAACAAAACAGCTATTACCATCCTCACGTGTTGATTAAAATAAAGAAAATTAAGCTAAATTTAGCAGCAAGGGTCAAAAAACCCTCCGAGAAGGCAGGAAAATAGTTCTTTGTGTTTTTGTTATGCAGGACTTAAATGGTTAAAAAAAAAAAAAATCATAGAAACATCAACGTACTGGGAAGAAATATGTCGTTTGTTGCTGTTTAAAAACAATGTCCTTCATTTTTCATCATTATTTTGTGCTGCCTGTGGGAATTTTTTGCACTCATGACTAAGTGTGTTTCCTAATTTTGAATAACAAACTTGAATCTTCACACGTGTTGTAACTACTGAGGTGTAATAAAATTTTTAAAAAAAGGCTAAAATAACAGCTCATCTGTGTTTAAACTCCTTGTGATCCAGTTTAGATTCTCCCCACAGTACAGAACTTCATTTTATCTGTAGCAGCAGCTCTCAGCAGACTTCAACAACAAAACGTTCTTCTGTGGACCAAAGCAGCTTCATCCAGCTCCATCATCACGTTGAAGGACGTTGCAAATGCGTTCAGTGATTGTTTTTTTTCCTTCCAGGTTTCCAGAACAGCTGAGCAGAGAATACCTCTTTAACTTCAAGGTCGTCCTTTCTAAATGCGACGCAGGAATCCCAGGATGTCTCAGACCGCTCACAGATTTACGCGAACTTGCACAACACAAGTCGTCGTGGCACGAAGGTTTATGATTTTATGGTATTCCACCTGAGCCCCCCCGAAAGCAAGCAGCTTCATCTGGTGAAAAATTAGCAGGATTTCTGAGTTAATTTAAAAATGACAAACTCCACATCTGAAAACAACTCGGCTAAGAATGTCAAGTGTTGTAGAAAGTAACTAATAGTGCAGAAATTAAGGGATTAACATAAATAAACAAACATAAATAACATCAGTTTGTTCATAAATCTCTTCATGTTTATTATCCTGCAGCTCCGGGTACAAAAGTCTCTTCTCACAGACATGATTGAAGTAACAAACAGATGAAACGCTAAAGAAGCTGAATAATGTGTTGTTTACAGCTGCCGGCATGCTGTCAGGCGTAAATGTGAGGTTTTTAAAGCACTGCAGTGGCACAACAAGATAAATACATGCACATGAGGCTGTTACATGCGTCTGAAGGCTGGAAACGATGCAGCTGCTGGAGCCTGTGCAGCTGTTTGTGGAGCTGCGAGGTGAACACAGCTGTATGGATGAGGACTGTGTGGCCCTTGGCCGCCCCCTGCTGACCACCGGAGCGAACCGCTTTCCTCGCGTGGTCTTCCATTTACGGGTTTATGCGATGGCCACGGCAAACACACTGACCACACAGTTCATGGTGCGGTTTTCCCATCTCACGGTGCAGCTTCCTGCAGACACCAAACAAGCATACGTTAGCTGAGAAAGGTGGACAAAGTCTTTATGTGCCGCCTCATTGTGCTTTGACATTTGTCTGGTTTCTTTTATATCTCAGGTGTCTCTGGCTGCTGAGGGATAAAGAAGTTTTATCGGATGTTACCTTAAGACATTAAAGAGGAAGAACTTGTGTCATGTTTAAACTTTTCAGGTTCATTCCTTTTTAAAATATACAATTTTCATACATATTTCTCCAATTTACCCGACACTTTGATGGCATAAAATATGGATAAAGTTATTGGTGAAATTTAACACTGATGTGCCAAATACTTTCAAACATATAGACTTTTTAAAATTGTCCATCAACCCAGCAGATTTTTTCATGCACTGAAATATCTATTAAAGACACAAACATGAGATTTTCACTGTTATTTCTCATCATGTCATTGATTCAGAATCTGTAATATCAGACAAGTAGATCAAATCATTTCTAAATTTGGTGATTTTAATTATTTTTGAAATTCAAGAAAGACAGTTTATTTATTATTATTACTACACTTGATTTTAACTGCACCAAACACATTTCTGAGTTCTTTCCTTCCTGTCATGGTTGTGCTGTTTCCATAGAGGTGCAGGACTTTAACTCAGTGAAAAATGAGCCCACAGTGAGGACAAATGTGACAGGAGCAAAAGTCATGCAGAAATTGCTGGAGGTCAGAGCGTTCATTTTAAATTCCTAATGTTACCGAGCAGAGTTTGCAGCACGCATCAAGTGTCGGAGGCATAAAACAATTCTACCCGCATATAGAAAAACATCAACTGTATTCCCTTTAGTTCAGCGATTAAATGATTACTGATTGTTAACGTGGCTGACTACAGGTGAAGGGAAGTGTTTACATGTGCATCCTTACCGTCCATGGCAGTGTCCCAGTAGCAGGAGTTGGCTGTGTGGAGGCCGGCTCCTGTTTTCTGCATCACAGCACACGTCACTGCGCAGACAGAAACTCCATCAGTTTATCGTCTTTATACGTTTCTTTTCATTCACTTGTCCTGAGCAATGCTTCTGCACAAAGCCTGATGCACACAGCGGCATCTATGGTTTGAAAATGTGATTCTTGTTTAAGTAGAATCTGTGGCCACTTTTGCCAGAAAGAAAACCAGCGACAGGGACGTACCGATGTACTTATAAGGTTTCCAGCTTTTGACGAGCTGCGTGAGGCAGCGCTCCACGATGCTGGCCGTCCATTTGTTCACCTGACTCTGACTGTAGTCATCACCGCCCACGACGCTCTCAATACACTGAGACAAACACACAAAGACAACATCAGTGTTGAGTCATGTGGAAGTCACTGGGTGCTGTTTCACCAGAGGGGACCAAATAAAGAACAAACACTGTCCTGCACTTCACTTTATATCCCTGATAAAACCTGAGAACTGCAGACACAGCAGAGCGTTTGGAAGATAGTTTTTCTATGATTTTAAATGTTTTACAGATTGTTATTAATAAATTAAAAAAATAAGCCTATCCACTATTCAGCACAAGAGCACATCATTTTTTCAAAAGTTATCAAAAACATAATCTGTTCTTGTTTCTGTCTGATATTTTAATGTTTTTTTTTTATTATTATTTTAAGCTAGAAAAACTAACATTAAATTTAATCTTTTAAAGAAAGATGTCTGCACAGAAAAACTGCAGTCACCCATTGATTTAAAAGCAAGAAAAACACCTGATTATGCACAAAACATCCCAAGTTTTACCTTCTTCTGAAGCCCTGATGCTGCTGCAGCAAAACAGCATTGTCACTTTTGTTAGTTTTCTTTGTTTTAATTCAGTTATTAAACTTTTAAGCCAACAAATTAAGCCATTTTTAGTTGATTAATCTGTAACCAATTTGTCATATGGTCTACAAAATGCCAGAAAATGGTGTAAAATGTTAATCAGTGTTTCCAAAAGCCCGGGATGCCGTCCTCAAACATCTCCTTTTGTCTACAACCCCAAAAAAATCAGTTTACTGTCAATAACTAAACGATTAATCGACTAAACGCTGCAGCTCTACTGGGTTATAAATGTGCTGAGCCAGAAAAACAAGTCACAGTCTTAATTTGATGAGTCCAAAACTTTACGAAAATATAAATTTGGATTCTATTTCAGGTGTGAACAGTCACGAAATTAGTGTAAACTGAAAATGTTAGTAAAAAAATGATCAAAGACTACCTATGTTGACTGAAATCAACATTTTGATCATTATATTTTTTAAGCTATATTACCCAGCCATAATAAAAACCTTAAAGTGACTTAATAAAAAGGGTGAAATACAAGGAAAACTTATATGAAAGCATTAATATTACCTCTTTGACAATGTTATCAGCTTCTTCTGAGTTGAATGCGCCCTAAGAAGTGAGTAAATTCAGATTACAGTCACGACACTGGACACTGCTGAATAAAAACACATTTCCATGAAACACAAATATTCTGTAGCCACTTTCAGCATGGTGTTAAGTGCCAAAAGTCAACATGACACAATTCTGGTTATAATTAAAAACATTATGTAGTATTTCACATCAAAAAATACAGCTGAAAATATTATAAGAATACAATAAACATGCAAAACAATCAAGTTCTCCTGATTATTAAGCACAGCATGAACAGTTCCAATAGGATTAATACAGAAATAACAATATGTTGAGATGTGGACACTATTGTACACTGTTAAATGGCAAATAAATAAAACATTAGATCGTTCTGGACATTATACAAAACATTAAGTAAAGAAATCTTTCAAAAAAACACAATAAACATGCAAATTAAGCACAGCAGTCAATGGTCCCTATAGGAATAATACAAGAACCGTACAATATTAAAGATATGGCTAATAAGGAGAGCTAAAATGTCACTTTTAGTCCGAGCCAGGAACAATGAGATAACTCTGAACATAAGAAAATACATTATGTAGTGATTTTAAACCGAAAATAACAGCTAGCATTACAAATCACCGCTAATGATGGGAGCGGCTAGTTCAGTTAGCTAGCTGTTAGCTTTTTAGCTAGCTAACATCTACCGATACAAACCAAACTAGAAGCGAATTCAGCAACAAACCTCGCTGCCGTTGTGAAACTCCTCCATGCCGGTCATGTGTCGAAGCTTCAAGCGGCTCACTGTCCTCGTTTACAATGTGGGAAAAATTAGGGGAAAAAAGACAATTTTCTCGCAGGGAAAAAAAACGGGAGCGGGTCGGGAGTTCCTGCGAGCTGTCAACACAGTCAACGACGGCCCGGAGGGAGCGACGCTAACCCGGAGGCGGAGCGAGGTAAGCGACCCCTGCTGGTGTGGGGTGTAAAAGACGACACAGAACCGAGAGGAGAACTTACCTGTTTATCAGTCTTAAAGAGGCGTTTCTAGTTGCTGCTGGTGAACCTGTTCTCGTCTGAACTGGAGGTAAAAAGTGTCTTTAAATACAAGTGTCTGCAGTTAGCGGTGGCGCCACTCGGCGGCCATCTTGTCCTGCTCAGGTCCTTCCTGTCTTTTAAATCTTGCTCAAATTAATTTGGCTTTTTTAGGACAAAAAAAAAACAAAAAAAACAAGTGCGTTTCATGTTAAGGTGAAAACAGCTTTCTACAAGGTAAAATTAATTAACTAAATATTAATAAGTCTTCACTCCTTTTAAAGTTAATCACCTCATTTAGCACAGCTGCAGCCAGTTGGTGCTGGAAGTCCCTCCGTTGGTTAAACAGTCTGTGAATGTGTCTTCGCCACTATTTGAAATAAAGCTTGTGTATATTAAAGATCAGAAATGGCTATGTAAAAAAAAAAAAAAAAAAATCCTTGTTTTGTAAAGTATATCTGGTAAAATCTTGTAAAAAAAAAAAAAAAAAAGCATCCATTTACATGCTGACTGTAAAAAAACACAAATGGTACATGATCCCCACTTTTTAAAAATCTGTATTTTTTTTGTAAATAGCAATACGTTATTCAACAATGTGAGGCCACAAAATTACACAGTTTTACTGTTCAAATCAGCAAAAGAAATATAAATATTTTTACAGACATTTGCTTTTATTTTCATTATTTGTACAGTTTTTTTAATGTTACAGGTCTAACAGCGTCTTTTACTTTCATCACGAATAATAATGTAGTCTAGATGAGCAAATGTGGGTGTGTAAATTATATTAACATCATTTGGAACAGCTTGCAACAGATTATTCCTTTTGATTACTCGACAAGTAGGTAATTATTATTTATTTTGTACATTAGTTTGTAACCTATCATATGAAAATCTGTAAAACAGAAACAATACAAACTTTCACTTTGATGATGAAAATTAAATGGAAAACACAATTTTGTAACATTGATAATGTAAAAAAAAAAAATAAATAAAATAAAAACCTGTTTTTCATTAGAAGAGAAAAATCGCTAAGCGATTGGAGGTAAAACAGGCTGAGATGCAGTTTGGAACAGACTCTTGTATGCTCTCAAAAATGCAAAAATGCATTCATATTCATCGCGAGACTTTGAGCAGGCAAATAGTTTGGCACACACAGAAGTCGTCTTAAACTGGGAGGGCAGCTCCACAATCAATCAGCAAATCCTTCATATGAATGGCCAGAACACCCCAGGGCCAAAACTGCACTCTCAAAACAACCTGCTTTCAGGCTGCATATGTAAATAAACCTGTAATCACAATGAAGAAATTCTATAAAATACACATATGGAAATGTTAGAAGACTATAGATTTAGACGATAGACGATGCTGGTTGAGTATTTTGTTGTGGTCACGGTAAGGGGACATTTTCCATCCCACAGAAACGCATTGATGACATGTCATGGTGAGCATCCTTGAAATGCACAGTAGTGACATACTCCCGATCATTGAGGTGAATTGTGTTTTGTGCTTATGGATCCTTTGTTTTGGCTTGTTGGTGGTTTTCCCAACATTGGCAAACCTCTATTGCAACGTTCTTTTCTTTGTGTTTTTTGCTGGTCTGAAGTTGTTGTCGTTTCCTGTAGAGGGGTAGATTTTGAAAACGGCAATGCACAGATACATTAAGTAGAGGAGACAGTTGGCTGGCAGGAGCAGACAATAGCAGGATTATTGCTGCATCCTCCCACTGCAGCTGACCACTGAAACTCCTCCTCATCCAGATGCTTGTGATTATCTCTCCAACCTCCTGAGATACTTGGAGGTGATTTTTTTGGGGTCTTTCATAGCAGTGCAAAGGCTTTGTGTTCATTTGTTTACAGCCTCCTGGTGACTACCCAACATCTATAACTGAAGAGAAGCTGGATCTTTGCACTCAACTCAACACAGAGACACTGAGGAACCAGACTTGAACCAGAACCCAGGATACAGAGGTTCAGTGAATGTGGTGTTGAAGGTGTGGAGGTGGATCAGAGAGCCAGAGGAGACTCTGTAGAAGGACAGAGTTCCAGCAGGACAGTCCACATATACACCTACTCTGTGAGAGACTGAGGCTGAGGAGGAGATGGCGGCTCCAATGTTATTGTGCCTGACACAGTAACCACCATTATAACACTCCAGACTCCAGGACTGATCATTAAATCCAAACACACATTCTCTGTATCCTCTCCTTCTGATTCCTCTGTAGCTCACTGCTACATCAACCTTTCCTCTCCACTCAACCTCCCAGTAACAGCGACCAGTCAGACCAGTTGTACACAGAAGCTCAGGCCAGTCATGAAACCTGTCTGGATGATCAGGATACGACTGAACCTCTTCCACATATGTCACAGTCCGGTTGTTGTCAGACAGTTGGAGGTTTGTGTTTATTGTGTTTGTGTCGACTGTCAGTTCACAGGAATCTGATGGAGAGAACAAACACAACACCGCTGCAGTTATTGATCCATCATCTGATCATTATTGATACACTGATGAGAAAATAGTTGAACGTGCTGCTTTGTTTTCATGAACAACAATAAAAACACACTTACACTTCCTCAGACCTGGCGTCAACCACTGGACTCCTGCAGACTCCACCCTGAAGGAGGAGACACAGTTTGGACTGATTATTCAACTTTATGCATCTTTGATCTTTGATAAAACGGTGAAGCAGGTCCCCATGCTTCCAGTCTTTGAGAGAAAAAGATTACAACTCCTTCTCTGATTTTAGACATCTGTCCATACCTGAGAGTGTCCATCTGTCCATACCTGAGAGTGTCCATCTGTCCACACCTGAAAGTGTCCATCTGTCCATACCTGAGAGTGTCCATCTGTCCATACCTGAGAGTGTCCAGTCTGCAGTGTGGATCCTCCAGAGCAGCAGACAGCATCTTCTCTCCTGCCTCTCCTGGATGGTTGTAGCTCAGGTCCAGCTCTCTCAGAGTGGAGGATCTGGAGGTCAGAGCTGAGGTCAGAGAAGCACAGCCTTCCTCTGTGACCAGACAACCTGACAGCCTGCAGACACACAAAACAAACACACATGGCAGAAACTGTGAGACAACTGCTCTGACATTACAGTTGAATGAACTTCATTGTCAAGAGAAAACGTCTCAGACTATTGGCTCTGTGGATTCTGAGGTAATTAGTCAGTTTGTCTCCCCAAAGTATCACCACCTTAGAATGTTTTAGTGTTTTTTGTGGCACTGTGATCCGAGGCAACAGCTTCAAATAGAGCCTCCCACGTGGAGGGGACCAGACTCAGAGCAATTCAAACATGCTGACCACCTGCAGGGATAGACTATTGAGTCAGGTGCACTGAAGCCAGGCAGCAGACAAGGGCGGGCACCAAGACCTTCTCGTCCCTGGTAAATTAGAAGGGTTCTCGAGACATCTCTGGAGGGGATATGCACAACAAAGCTTATGGAAAAACTCCGGAGAGAGGATGCAGTGTCGGGGGATGTTGGAGTCAAGGAATCCAAGAGGACCATGTTCAAAGCCACCGATGTGGGAGTGGATGTTACTGGCTGTCAGATGGTCATATGTGCTGACCTGATGCAACCTAACAATGCACTGGCTGACACAGACTGTGATGGAGGCCGACAAGCTGGAAAGCAGGCCTTTCAGACTTGGTCCCCTGAAGCAACAGACAGGTACATGACGGTCACAGTGGCTGTAGCTGAGGCAGTCATAGAATTTAAAAGTGTCATATAGGAGGAATTTGGGGAGGCAATTGAGACAGACTTTCTTTGGCTTAAGGGAAGTTCTCGGAAAATATTGAATGATTCAGAAGCTCTAAACCCTCATCGATATTCTTGGCAGAGGTCACTGAAGTAGTCATAAAGTTCCTGGTTGACATGTTCCTTGAGTGTCACATGGATTTTTGGGACAGTGCCTGTGGAGTGGCAGACTCTGGTGGACTGAGGGTGTGCTCCAGTTGTCGGGGCACCATAAAGGTCAAACATGTTGTACAAGTTTCTTTGAGAGTGTAGCAAGAAGGCTCTGCTTGATTGTTCAACCTCTGATTCAGAAGGAGCAATACAAACTTCTTCCTGGCAGACAAAAAACCTTCAGTCTCAGGTGAGCTGTTGGTCATCAGTGAAAAAGACATTTAAACAGTTTGACAAATCCTAACCTGAGACTCTCCAGTTTACAGTGAGGACTCTTCAGTCCGACAGAAAGCAGCTTCACTCCTGAATCCTGCAGGTTGTTGTTGCTCAGGTCCAGTTCTGTCAGACTGGAGGACTCAGAGCTGAGAACTGAGGACAGAACTTCACAACTTCTATCTGAGAGGTTACAGCTGCTCAATCTGAAGAGACACAAATAAACAAAAAGAAAATATTTTTTGAGAGTTTATTCTATTTGGAAAGATGTTCAATGACTGTTTCTCTGTACTTACAGAGCTTTCTTAGAAGCTTTGACCACTGGCAGCAGCCTCACAAGAGCCTCCTCTGAATCAGAGTATTTCTTCAGATCAAACACATCCAGATCTTCTCCTGATGACAGTAAGATGAAGACCAGAGCTGACCACTGAGCAGGAGACAGTTTTTCTGTGGACAGACGTCCTGATCTCAGGGACTGTTGGACCTCCTCCACTAGAGAACCATCCTTCAGTTCATTCAGACAGTGGAACAGATTGATGCTTCTCTCTGCAGACACATTCTCACTGAGCTTCTTCTTGATGTACTTGACTGTTTCCTGATTGGTCTGTGAGCTGCTTTGTGTCTGTGTCAGCAGGCCTCGTAGGAGATTCTGATTGGTCGGCAGTGACAGACCCAGGAGGAAGCGCAGGAACAAGTCCAGGTGTCCGTTTGGACTCTGTAAGGCCTCATCCACAGCTCTTTGGTAGAAACGTGTTGGATCAGGTTTCTTGGAGGTTGTTTGTTGTTGTTCTTCCAGCAGGTTGATTCCAGAGTTGATGAAGGTC